TGTCACTTCAGTATGAAATTATAGCAACTGGAACAGGGTCCCAGGAGCAGCAAGCTGTTTCCCAAAGTCACCAGAAGTGCCTACCTCTGTGCTAAAGGTACAACAGCTGCAATTCATATTCCGTTTTTCTCTCTCCTGCCAAGCTGTAACTTCCTGACACTAAGAACTGGCTGGTGAGAAACTGGGTAGTGAAAAAGAGACAACAGAAAATAGCTTTCCTGCTCTAACAGAGGCTGCCAGATATGGAGCTGCCAGTTACAAGCTAGATAAATAACTGGTGATACCATTAACCTTCTTATCTAGCTCACTTTTGAACTGACATTCATAATAAAGCCCCCCACACACACTATTTATTTCAGTCAGATGGCAGCTTGCATAGGGCTCAGTTCAGACCCATAAAAGGAATTTGTGACAGGACTAAAGCAAAGTGTGCTGCTTATATACCACCCAAGCACTTAAAACTCTCTTTGGGTGGTTTACAATTTAATTATGCAGGCTACTCACTACCCACCCCCAGGAGCTGGGTACTCAAATTTACCAACTCCTTGGGCCGAAGAACAGTGTCCTGGGGCAGAGGAAAGTGGCCAGTGACGATATAGCTTAATTTTTTTTATACATTCTTCCACTTTCTAAGATAGCACACCCCAATCTGCTGCCCTCCAGATCTTTTGGATCCCATCAAGTCCCAGTTAACAAGCCTTACACAGAAGGATCACAGGAGGCTATCCAGGCTCTTCTGGGCCTTAAGCCTCGTTTCTGTACAGATTTGGATGCCCTGAGCGCACTGGCTGCTTTTTAATCTGCTTAACTGCAAGTTTTAAAGGGAATAAAGGGTTCTGATGAATTCAAGTAAGATTTTAAAAGGCTTCAGTTGCCAGAACTTTTATGGAGTGCTGACAAAACCAGAAGAGGATTAGCCGACTTTAGCCCTTAGCAATGAACAGGCAATCGGCTGATTCAAGCAAAACTGTTACAGTTTTTTGACCTTTTTAAATGATTACCTCCCCCCCCCCATTTGAACTACTGCTCTATACATTATGCAATGCCTGCTGAAGAGTTTTTGCTGCATGGAGGCAGAATGCCAAAGGACACACTCTCTAAGGCTGGCACTTTCAGGTCTAGCGGCACCATTCAGACACCAGTTCCTGATGGCATCTACCTCTCCTCAGAAATTGCACCACTTGCTTTGTTTTGCTGCATGGAGCTGGCCTGGTGAGCAACACTGCAGTTGATTAATCCTGGCTTAAAGAAAATCCCGAGCAGTCTACAGTGAAGGTTTTGTGTGGCAGGAATTTTTTAAAATGTTTTTTTTATTTTAGTGAAGTATCCACTAATTCTGTTGCTTCCCATTACCTACGTTCACTGGTTCTCTGCAACAAACAGGCAGAATTAATGTAGCAAATCCCATAGAAGCATTTCATACAGCACTACGTTGCCTATTAATGTCCTTCCCTCACTCACCAATCTAAATGGTGGCTGAGACCAAGGAATCAGAAGACGGCTGAGACTCGGAAGGACAGCAATGAAGGAATTAGAAAAGATAAAATATAAGGATGTATTAGCACTCTCGACAAAGGCCAAGATTATCCATACTATTGTATCCCCAGTTACAATGGACAGATGTGAAAGCTGGACAGTGAAGAAAGGTGACAAGAAAAACTTTAATTTGAAAAAATAGCACTGTAAGAGAGCTTTGTGGGTACCCTGGATGAGCAGTGGGTAGAGAAAATCAAGCCTGAACTTTCTCTGGAGGCAAAAATGATAAAAACAAGGTTGTCATATAGCTCATGAGAAGGCATGATGGAAAAGACAGTAACAATGGGAAGAGGGAAGCGAAACCAAATAAGAGATGGGTTAAATCCATAAAGGAAACAACAGGCTTGAGTTTACAAGAGCTCAGGAGGGCAGCTGTGGAGAGGTCATTTTGGAGGTCTCTCATTCATAGGGTCGCTGCAAGTCTGAAGCAACTTGACAGCACAGAACAACAATAATGGCCTTCCCTTTGGCCAGGTTTCTTCTTCAGTGGCTGCCCTTGCGGTAATTATGAAAGCCTCTTCAAAATGTAATTCATAAGTATTTATTATTTACTAATCTCTTGCCTGTGCTCATCAGGAAACAATAAAACAGGCCAAAAGCTGCAAACAGGAAGCATTTAACTAAAGGCAAAGTAGCACTGCAAAGCCTCAATTGTGAGTGCTGCAGTTTCATGTTTTACTACAAAATAATTGGCATCGGAACTTTTTCTTACTGTTGGTTTCTGTGATAAAGGAGATGAGAGGGCAGAGGTTCTCGTCGGAGTGCCATCTCTCCCTAAGGCGACCAAAGGAATACAAACCTCTCCGCCTCCTGCCCCGCCCCGGAGGATACACGAGAGCATAGACACCCGGGAATTGGAGACAAACCTACAAGGGTTAAATGTACAGTATCTACACAGACTGAGCAAGATTTGGCGGCAAGGGAGGAAAGGGGGCGGTCTACAGTTGAGGCGGGAATGGGAGACATAAATACCGGTTGCGACAATATACCGGGGGGGTGGGAATTGATTTGTGTACAGGATCCCTGGACTGGACTATGGGAACAGGTAAAGGTTCCCAGGGAGGAAGCCGACTATCAACGTAGAAAAGGACTTCCCCAATGTCCATCATATTGGGGAGAGTCAGAAGCTCCTGAGTGGAGGAGACTGAACGAGGAGCAGGAAGCTGTGTCCAGAGAAGCAGAGGAACGCCGGGCATGGCGTGCAGCGGAGGCACGGAGAAGGAGATACCTCCTGGACCATGGGGAACCTGTCAGGGAGAGGGATCTCCGTTTTGGGAATATGAAGGAGACGAGGAGACCTTACCATTACAGAATGAAGAAGAGATAGAACGGGAATTACCAGAGTATAACCCTCTAACCCCAGGACCTTGGGAAGGTAAATTGTTAAACCCTTCTGAAACAGAACTAGGGTTGCCCTTGCGGACCCGTTGGTCTCGCAAGAGAAGTTGTCTAAGAGTACCGTTAAAGAGTTGTTACTGTTAGAGAAAGAAATAAAGGCTACTACAAGTTCTGATTTGCAAACGACTCTTGTTTTATTGAACAAACATGGGAGGCTGACAGCGAACCCTCAGTTTCCTATTGTAAGTTACCTTTAAGAGTAAGTCCATTTGAATCAGTGGAATTTACAGAGGTGACTCACCGAACCTTCAGTGATTCAATGGGCCTACTGTGGTGCAATTTACAGCACTAAGCAACAGGATTTTGGTAATTTAATAATTACTGTCTTTAGAGGAGAGTCTCTACAACTTGTAAATCAAAGGTTGGGCACTTAAGCCCTGACTAGCACACCTACCCAACCCCTGCTGCCATTCCTGATGTCCCTTTTCTTACGCAGCTCTTTATAGGATGCTGATAGCTCAGCCAGTCTGGAATCTGCCAGATGCTGGAAGCTTGATTCCCAACTGGGCCTCCCAGGAAAATTCATCCTTTATCCAGTCTGGCTTGCCTACTTTTCACCACCAAGGCCTCCCACTCTTGTTGTTAAGGTCCCTGCAAGTACAGTATTCGAGATAATCAGAGAAACTCACATTTGTGGGGAGGGCTGGTGAGGATGAAAGGAAATGTGCACGAACTAGAAACTAAGTCTGGACTTAAAGAAAAAGAAAGAAAGAAACCCTCCCGATGAAAGGGGGCTCCCAGAGCAGAAAGGAGCCTGCAGAGGTGCCATCAACTGACAAGGAGCACGAGGGGACCCCAGGCATCGACTGGCTGTCAAGTTGGACTTCAGTCCCACCAGGGACTCCGACTTGGAGGCGGCTGGCCGCCCCCAATCCCGGCCCCACCCCCTTTGGTTTCTGAGGGGGTAATGGTGTCTCTAATAGGGCCTCCGACTTGGGACTCGGACCAAGACTTGCCAGCATCTCTGAGGACGAGGGCCAAGGCCGACCACCAGGCCCCTCCGGGCTGAACCTCGCTTCCCCACCTCGCCCCACAGATCAAGCAATTCCCCTGCGCCGGCCCGACAAGGCTTGCCCGGGTGACGGGCGGAGGAAAGAGGGGCGCGAGGTTCCCCTTGGGGGTCCCATCCCAAGGCCCGCTCCTCATCCTC